CACACACACACACACACACACACACACACACACACACACACACACACACACACATTTTGTTGTTGTTGTTGGTTATGGTGTTTGAACTCTGGACCTAGGCGCTGTCCTTCAGCTCTTCAATTCAAGATGAGCACTCTACCACTTGAGCCACAGCACCACTTCCAGTTTGCTGGTGGTTAATTAGAGATAAGAGTCTCAAAGACTTTCCTGCCCAGGCTGGCTTTGAACTATGATCCTCAGACCTCAGCCTCTTGAGAAGCTAGGATTATAGGTGTGAGCCACTGGTGCCTGGCTAAGTTATGTTTTTATTAGTATCAGTTGTACAAGGGTCTTTATTTTGGCATACTGTATACACATACAGACACACAAATACGTAGACACACACACGTGGACACATGCACAGTGTACCTTGTTCAGACGGTACCTTGTTCAGCTTACTCCTTCCATCACTCTCATTCATCTTTCCTCCTCACCTTGCCAAAGAGGCCCTGGATTTGATCCTTAGAACTACAACCTTCTCCCACCTCCCAAAAAATAAACCTTATTTATGTGCTATTCCTAGGGCTTGAACTTAGGACCTACATACTGGTCCTGAGCTTCTTTTGCTCAAGGCCAGCACTCTCCCACTTGAGCCATAGCTCCACTTCTAGCTGTTTTGGAAATTTAGTGGAGATAAGAGTCTCACAGATTTTCTTGCCCAAGCTGCTTTAAACTGCAGTCCTCAGATCTCGGCTCCTGAATAGCTAGGATTACAAGCATGAGTCACTGGTGCCCAGCTAGTATTGTTGCTTTTTAAAAAAATCAGGACATTGGTTCATATATGTAAACGCTAGATCCAATACTGTTAGATTGAATATACTGGAATTTTCTGGTAATGATTGCTATTTATTTATTTATTTTGTTGGTTGTGGGGCCTTAACTCCGGGCCTGGGCACTGTCCCTGAGCTCTTCAGCTCAAGGCTAGCACTGTACAACTTGAGCCATAGTGCCACTTCTGGCTTTTTCTTCTTATGTAGTGCTGAGGAATCGAACCCAGAGCCTCGTGCATGCAAGGCAAGCACTCTACCACTGAGCCACCTTCCCAGCCCCATGATTGCTATTTAGAATGAAGTGAGTTATCATTGGTGCTCCTGAAATTTGTTTTTAATAGAATTTTTGTGTGTATATGCAGAGAGGGAGTCTTGAGGACTTCTCTGCCTGTGCTGGCTTTGAAATGTTAGTCTCTCCAGGGTAGCTAGGATTATAGGTATGAGCTACTGTTGTCTGGCTCATAGAATTTGACTTGAGGTATCAGTGACAAAATGTGCTGACTGCTATAGCTCCAGTCAGTTGAATGAAAATGGTAGTAACTGTATAACCTATCTGATGTTTTAAGCAGCAGAAGGTAGTCACTTTTTTTTTGGAAATCTCAACAGGTAAATGTCAGACCCCAGACTGGGTTGGAAGGGAACCAGCCTCAGAAAGAAGTTCCAGACCAGCATTTGGAGACCCCCGAAGAGCAGCTGAAAGGTCTCTCTCCTTCTTGAAGGGTGTGCGTACAGTGCATACTGACAGCCACACAGTGCCCGCTGGATGAATGCTGAGCTATTTTTAATAGTGGAACTGTGTAAATACTTCTTGATCTCTAAGGCATATGTTTGCCTTCTCTTCCCATTTCTGGGTTGGCAGAAAACTCCATATCATGGTTGGAAAGAAGCAGTTTTGTGAACTTTTACTTTAGGACATTACTAAATAAAAGATTCCCTAGCTGCTTTTAAAGTAAATTGTAAATTTGAAATTGTAAATAACACGAAGCCTTTATAAAGATTATTTGATGAGCCTCTTCCTGATGTGGTGTGCTCAGATGTGTCTATCAGCCTGTGGGCTGGCTACATCTGGGCTGGTATGAATCTTACTGGGTCCTTCTGACTTTTGCCTGCACACATGGTGTGTGAGAGGCTGAGTTTGACTTGTGTTTTGCATTCAGAGCCAGGACCCGTCAGTGGTAAGGAGAAAAGACCAAAAGTAACTTTTACCTCCCGAATGGAGTGTGTTGGTGATAATTGGCATAGGCCTGCAGCAGGTAGGATGCCCAGTAAATACTTGCTGAAAGAATAAATGGATGAATGATTATACCCAGCTAAAGACTGAATGGTCTCTGTTGGTCACCGGACCTGCTTGGTGGTAGGATGAGGTCAGCTGACTCAGATGGTGTTCTCCACTACCTCTGGGACTGAGTTGTGCTAACAGTTCTTACCAACTGTTTCACCCTCTTTTACCTGTTTTACTAAGGAAGTGAAATATTCTTCTATGATTGTAACTTCTTGTTGTTGTTTTTGGTTGTGGGGCTTGAACTCAAGGCCTGGGTGCTGTCCTTTGAGCTCTTTTTGCTCAAGACTAGTACTCTACCACTTTGAGCCACAGTTCCACTTCCAGCTTTCTGGTGGTTAATTAGAGATAAGAGATTTCCTACCTGGGCTAGCTTCAAACTGGATCCTCAGATCTCAGCCACGTGAGTAGCTAGGATTACAGGCATGAGCCACCAGTGACCCATGTTTGTAACTCTTGCATTTGTAATTAAACCAGTAATTTTTATCGCTTAGTAGTAAACTACTTCAGAAATATTTTATTTTATTTATTTTTTTTGTCGGTCATGGGTCTTGAACTCTGAGCCTGGGTGCTGTCCCTCAGCTCTTCAGCTCAAGGCTAGCGCTCTACCACTTGAGCCACAGCACCACTTCCAGTTTTCTGGTGTTCATTGGAGATAGGAGGAGTTTCACAGACTTTCCTGCCTGGGCTGGCTTTGAACCGAGATCCTCAGATCTCAGCTTTGTTAGTAGCTAGGATTATAGGCATGAGCCACCGATTCCCAGCTAGAAATACTGTATTTTACAACCTGCATGTGCACTGGGCACCAGAGCCTTACACCTGTAATCCTAGCTATTCAGGAGGTTGAGATGGAGGATCAAAGTTTGAAGCCGGTCTTGGAAGAAAAGTCCTTAGGACACCATTACCAATTAACCAGTAAAATGCTGGGTTCCAGCGGTAAGGTGCCAGCTGAGCAAACAAGCTGAGTAAATGTCTTAAGTCCCTGAGTTAAAGCCCTGGTACTGGCAGGTGGAACAAAAACTTGGGTGAGCTTTGTGACCCAGTATTTGGTCACTACACTCTCCTGGCAGACCGAAAGGCAGGGTCTGTCTGCTTCCTTGCTCTCAGTGCATGAAGGTGAACCATCTAGGACACAATAGCAGGTCTCAGCTGTGCTGTTCCTCCTGCCCTGAACCTCCAATGTTATCTGTTGTCTGTCTCACGATTGCTGTGCTTGGGTGCTTCACATCCTTCCAGAGACATTAGACAAGCATTTGGTGCCGCGTGTCTGGCCAGACCTTGGGAAGGTAACCCAATGAGCAGGTGAAGGAGACAGTCTTCTCAGAAGCAACGATGGGGTGAGCTGTCACTCATGTCTAACTCTTGTTTCTGGGTTTTGATTTTTTAAATTCTGTTCTCAGCAGCAGTGTGAGAAAATGCCTTTCCCCACACATTCTGATCTTGTTACATGGGAGAAGACTCGAGAGCCTGGGCCTGGGGGGGGAGGGAGAGAGGCTCCCACTACAGCGCCTTGAGTCTCGGTGATAGGAACTTAGTGAAAGGTGTGAGACTTACTTGAGAATTCAGAGCGAACACTTCTCACAGTTTGGGCAAAAGCCTTCATCAAGTTCTCTCCTGGTTTTTGGAGAGAATGGAAGAGTGGCCCTGCTCATGGCTTATAAAGCTTAACACCAATTTAGAAAGGTTGCAGTGACTTGAGAGACAAAAAGATGGGCAGAAATCCTTTTGAAGTATGACATAAACATTGAAGGGGTTCCCAGGTGAGTGAGGAGCTCATTTAAACATTGAAGGGGTTCATGCCTGTAATCCAAGATAGGAGGCTGAGATCTGAGATTATAGGTTCAAAGGCAGCATGAGCAGATAAATTTAACAGACTTGTATCTCCAATTAACCACTAAAAAGCTAGAAGTTGAACTGTGGCTTACATGGTAGAGTGCCAGCCTTCAGTGAAAAACTAATAGATAGCATCCAGGCTGTGAGTTCCAAGTCCCAGTATTCACTGTTGTGTGTACGCACTTGCTTGCGTGTGTGTGCACATACACACACACACACACACACACGTGAGCCAGGGAAGAGATGTAGTGAATAGTGAGTGGTATCAGGTAGATGGGAGACTTGCCCAGCAGAGTGGAGTTGGAATAGTGGGAGGGAGGGTTGGAAGAGGAGACAGCTGTGCCAAGGCTACAGACCTGAATAACCAGAGACCAATAGTGTCACTAACAGCCAGGGAATTGGCAGTCTTGAGAAAGAACAGCTCCTCTCAGTTGGAGGTGTTCAAATGGCAGACAGGAGAATCATTCATGTAGCGGGGTAGGATTTGGACCCAGGAGAACGAATGAGTAAGTACTCTAGGGAGTAGCAGAGGGACACAGGATGTTGGGGGCTGGCCAGGTAAGTACTCTCAATTAAAGGATAGGAAGACAGAGAAAAGTAGGAAAAGAAATTGACAGATTTTATAGAACTCTGCCTTGGTTTGGTTGGGTACACCTGATCCTTGATTGGTGTCCACGGAGGCATGGTTTAAGTGGTATAGTGCCAGCCAATGAGTAAAAACATCAGATTGAGTGTTCAAGTGCAAAAACAAAATGCTGAAATAAGGATACAGGTCGACCCATTGTAGCAATGAGATGTATAACGAACTTTGGGGGGGAGGGGATGAGGGAGGAGTTGGCGGGGTGGAAAGGGAAGGGATGGTAGGGAAAAAACAAGGGGGTAACAATGCTTGATAGGAAATGTACTCATTAACTTACTCATGTATCTGTAAGCCCCTCTGTACAGTATCTTTACAATAAAAACTATATATTAATAAAGTAAGCATAAGGAGTACAAACTAAAGAGTTCAAATCCAGGGACTGGGTTTGATTCCTTAGCACCACGTAAGCAGAAAAAGCCAAAAGTAGAGTTAATGCTCAAGTGGTAGAGCACTAGCCTTGAGTTGAAGAGCTGAGGGACAGCACCCAGAGTTCAGGCCCCACGACCGCCAAAAAAAAAAAAAAAGTTCAGTCTAACCCTAGTGACTCAGGAGGCTGAGATCAGAAGATCCCAGTTTGAAGCCAGCCTGAGCAGGAAAGTCCATGTGACTCTTATCTCTAATTAACCACCAGAGAACTAAAGTAGAACTGTGACTCAAAGTGATGAAGCACTACCCTTGAGCACAAAAGCGCAGTGACAACACCCAGGCCCTGAGTTCAATCCTCATGACCAACCCAAAAAATAAATGAAAAAGTTCAAGTCCTGGTCTAGAACAAAAAAAGAAAGAGAAAAACTACTAGTTTTTTTTTGGGGGGTAGTTATTTATTTTTGGAGGTGCTTGGATTTAAACTCAGGGTTCTATGCTTATTAAGCAAGTGCTCTACCACCCTGAGCCATGTCCCTGAGCCATTTGGTATTAGTTATTTTTCAGAGAGGAGCTCACATTTTACCTGGCACTGACCTTACCACACAGCTCGGTTACAGGTGTGAACTGCCACTTTTTTTTTTTTGTAGTTTGGTATAATGCATTTTCTGAATTCTGATTCCGCATTTTGTTAAAATATACCTTTGCATTGTAAAGACATTCAGCAGGTAGATTTCTGTTTTAAACAGTCATTCAAAGCCTGGCGCTGGTGGCTCACGCCTGCAATCCTAGCTACTCAGGAGGCTGAGATCTGAGAATCGAGGTTCAAAGCCAGCCTGGGCAGGAGAGACCGTGAGACTCCTATCTCCAATAAACCACCAGAAAAACCGGAAGTGGCGCTGTAGCTCAAGTGGTAGAGCGCTCACCTTGAGTTGAAGAGCTGAGGGACAGCGCCCAGGCCCAGAGTTCAAGCCCCATGACCGACCAAAAAAAACAAAAACAAAAACAGTCATTCAAGTGGAATGATGAATTGTTCTCTGAGGCTACCATCAATGCCTGCCTCTGAGAATCTAGATGTGGCACGCTGGGATTGATGTGCCCTTAGCTCTTGACTTTAACTGGCCACGCCTGGTGCTGGATTCAGAACTGGGCTGGAAGGTTTCTCAAGTATATGCATTTGAGATAATGTGGCACTGTAGTGAAGACAAGGCCAGAGCACTGGGGGTCGGGGCAGGGAAAGGCCAGTGAACAAGGGCAGGGCAGGGTTACCCAACACTCTTGCTTTCTTTCTGGTCTCTATTCCTAAGTTCTACTCCGGAATAGCCCAAAGGTGGAAGACTGACTCTGGAAAGGTTTGTGTTTTCGCCCTTTGTTCTGGGTGAGATGAGGGAATACCTGAGCAGGTTCAGTGAGCCAGTTGTTCAAGTCACCTTGGCTGGCAAAGGAAGGACACCTGCCCTCCAGAGGAAAGAACAGGAAATGGCTTTCATGCCACTCCCAGGCGAGCTCTCAGTGTGACAAGCACGTCTCTGATTGGATGAGGCCAGCACTGAAGCAGTTTCTGTGGAGATGCTGAGCCAGACAAGTGGTTATTGCTGGGGCACAATCATGAGAAGGTTGCTAGGGGAGGGTCATGGAGACAGGAAATAAAGTGTTATGTCCCCTAAAAAATGTCCCCATCACATAGGACCGGTGAGATTGTAGGAAGGGAGTTTTTGTGGAATTGCAAGCTGACAGACTACATGCCCAGCATAGTTTTACCTTTGGTTGACACTTTTCCTGGGCTGGAACTTAAATACTCTGTCAGCTACTTGACCTTCTGGTTGCTCAGTTCTTTTAATTATAAGAAGGTAGTTCTAAGCAGCATCCAGCAGTGGGCTATTTTTTTTTTTTATCAAGCATTTTCCTTCCAGCAGTTAGTGAAAGGTCATTGGCTTCAATGGATGCTTTGTTTTTGGTGAGCAGCTGAAGATGAAAAAAGATATACAATCAATCTCTACTCCCTCCTGTTTGCTCATGGGCAGGACACTGTTTAATAGTCATTGTGGCATTTAGGATCGCAGTCTTTGGAAACATGCAGAAAAGTGCAAGTGCATCCCTTGCTGCTAACATTTCTCCAAAAGTAAACATTGGGCTGTGATTATGGTTAATAATGAGGTATTGATTGTCTGAAAATGTCACCGCCTGGGAACAGT